GGGTCTGCGGGGTTTGCGTGCGGGGTTTGCTGCTGATCTGCGGGGTTTGTGCGGTCTGCGCTCAGCGCAGCACTCAGGCCACGTTGCCGTTGATCACGCTCCTTGTCCCTGCAAAGCACGGTAAGTTTTATGAGATGTCCTTGCCTGAGAGAATTCTGTAACGGCATGTGTAATGTTGCTGCAACATGCTGGGACGGCCTAGGTCGGGCGCAAAAGTTCGTTGCTGGAGACCCGTTGGGGCGCCATTTTTTTCCGCACCCCTCACGCAAGGCCCGGGAAGCCGTGTGTCCGACGAGCACCGTTGAGCTCGACCAAAGCACGGCGATTGTTAGCATCATGATCAAGACAGCCACAAGTCGAGCCATCCCACTCCCTGTCTCCTCTGGCAACACAAAAATGCATGGCGCTCCGCTGTTGCGACGTACTACGAGACGGACGCAAAGGTGGCGAACACTCAGCTCATGCAGGCGGTTTTCGGCTTCCCTGTTCATGTTCCTGTTGAAAGCCAGGAGTCCAAAGGAGCCATGCCGCCGCTCGAAGGCAAACCGGGACAGCGAAAGCCTGCATTTAGTTGTATAGAAGGTCACACCTTAGAATACACACTCAAAAGCCGCCTGCAGCGGAAGTTGATTTGCATTCCCTGAATTATAAACTTCTTCTGCAGCTGCACGTTTCTGCAAGATCAAACTTAAATACAAGGGTACAGGCTGCGCAAGTGTACCGTATATTGTACATTATTTCGTACTTAGCATGGCTTAGCCACTGCTCTGCCGCCAGGCCTTGCCTCCGAGTCCGCAGTGTCCGCGGCCCTATATGCCAGGACATGAGTGGCGGGCAGCCTGGACAGATTAGATAGTTATATTTTTAGGTGGATTGCTAGAATGTCTGTGCGCGACACGTGCATGGCAGGATTTCCCACACATCCTCGAGGCTATGTTCGAAGCAAAAGGGCCACGGCCGGAGACGTCCACCCTCGCTTTTTGCGTTTCGAGGAGGAGGACAAAGCGATGCGGCACTCTGTAGACCTGCTGCCCCAGCACGGCTGGCTGCTGGTCACGCCGGTTTTCGACGCCGTCCTGGCAACTCCATGCAGACCGCAGAGACTGTCCCAGGCACGGAAGATACGCTTATGCAGCAGTTTCAGGCAGATACCGCCCTCCAGGACGACAGTGCCAGTGGCACCAAACTGCTCGAGGAACCAGAGGACAAATGTGCCACTGACACCAACATGCTCGAGGCTCCGAACAGTCCTGAAGTGCCAGCACCAGACCAGTCACTGGATGAGCGTGTGCCGAAAGGTCGGCGCACAGGCAAAGTCCCTGCATAGAACGACTCGAGCTGAATTCTATAGTATAACTCTACGACTATAGCCGTAGTGGAAGCAGGTAGGGCGCGACACTTTGTCAGGCCTCCGTGCAACGACATGGTCTTATGTCTTACGTGTCGTGTCCGTCCCCATGCCGTCTGGCACTGTGTCATTCAGTTCCTAATTCGCATACGGTAATTAGCTGCACTTCTTGGATCTTAGTGCAAGTAAGGCAGCCGTGAGATGCTCCGACGTCGCAGAACAAAGTGGGCTCAATGCTCACACTTGCAGTGGCATGCCCTAGGTGCTGGCGGCATTGTCAATATTTTGCTTCCTGCCATAGTCGTGACTGATCTGTGAGGGAGGGCGCACTCTGAAAATCCGTTGCCCATGGCGGCAGAAGGCGAACCATGCGTCGATGAGAGCTTGCCGGAGGAAGTGGAGCAGCAAAGTGTTGAAGCAGTATCCCAGGAAGTGGCACTGGAGTTGTCAGCAACCTCGGGGAATGCTGCGAACAAGTTCCGCTGCTGCCTCTGTCTGTTCCGTACTTGCGGGCGGGCGGACAAACTTGGCAAGCACGTCCGCAAGCTTCACGACTCCACGCGAAGGAGAGGCGCTTGGCGCAATTGAAGCTCGTCCTGGCTATGGTCGAGCAAGAACAGGCTACTGGGTGCAAGGTGTTGGAATGTATGCAGAGGACGGAAACGCTGTACAGCGCGACATAGAGTGCTAGTTGCTCCGGGCCACGACCTGGTAGGTGCTGCGCCCACTCGGAGCTCCTGCTGTCCAAGGTAATTTGCTGCAGAGATCCGCTGGGCAGCTGCAGCAATGGATTGCGCCACATCCTTTGACCTTGACGAACCTCTGCAAGTATAACGACATCGTTGTTGTTTTGCTTCTCACTTCCCAGGGCCGAGTTATGTTCTCAAAGGCACAGAACGTCAATAGCCGGCGCTTTCACAAGAATCTTCACTACGACCACTCCTTCGCAAGCCTGCTGCTTTCCCTGATGTTGCAACACGCTGGCAAGTCAGAGCCGGTGCTTAATGGCGTCCTGCACCTTTTCGTCCAGCAGCAGAGCCCCAGTGTTCTTATAATATTCCTAAACCCTAAACAACCCCACCGCCACACCAAGGGGAGGGAGGGGGGGGTTAAACACTAAACTGAAACCCACAACCCACCACCCCACCAGACCACACCACACCAGACCACACCACAGGGGGGGAGAGGGGGGGTAAAATAACCCCAAACCCACCACCACGCCGAGGGGGTTAAACAACGCCCACCACCACACCACAGCGGGGCGTGGGACAGCATGAGGCCGCCCACAGCCCCACAGGGGGGCGGAGCACAGAGCGGGCTGGCACGCACCGCAGCCAGGCCGTCGGGGGCCGGGGTAGGGGGATACCGTGGGGTGGGGGGGGGCTCGGGCGACGCTGCACCATATGCCAATTTAAGTGCTTGTTGTTAGTCCGTCATATAGCAGAGAGTTTCAATCCCCGCGCCTCCAGGGGTACGCCGACCACAATTTAGAAGACAAGCCAGCAAGTGCGAGGTTGCGACGCAAACTTTTCTCTGCTTGCCTTCAGCCCCAAGTCCCCTGACACCGCTGACCAAGGTCTTATTTCGGGTTTGGGTTTGTGGAGCGTCACAGTTCGTCCGTTATCCTCGCATGTGTCGGGGGCTTTGTGTTTGGGGGTTTAAGTTCTTCCGGCTTCAGGATGATTCAGAAACCTACATGGTTGGGAATGCATGGGACACTGTTAGTTCGGTTTTCAGATGAGACGTCCTCACAAAAGATGTGTTTTCCCCAATCTCGATCCTTCTTACATGTAACGTAGGAAGCACATCCTGCAACATCCCCAAGGACCAACGATCCCAGGCAACCTCGTTGAAGCGCTATTCTTCGGATTGCAGCGAGCAGTCTAACGAGTTGCTATGCGAATTTGCCCATCAAGAACTGCTGTGGTAATCATACAGGATAGGAGAAGTTGAACTGTAATGACAATGCCTGCAAACGTACCGATAACCATTGTCAGCGGCGCAATAGATCAAAACCCACACCCCCTTCTGCCAAAGTCACTTGGTCACCGCTTCTCCCCCTACATCATGATGATCATCGCTCGCGGTTTTAGCAATGAATACCCACATCCTGAAAAGACCATCAATATATAAGGAATACTGCTCAACTCCTATAGCTGGGTCACATCACCATACATCCGGGTGGCAGTCCGTAGCAGAAGGTCTACCCGAAGAACGGTGTCTTGCATTCGTGTGTGCCAGGATGGGATGGCCCTGGCCTATGCATCCCAAGAACTCCAGGATGACGAATCCATTGTGGAGGCCAGGGATGGCGATGGAAGTGTCGGTTTGTTCAAGCCGCCACCCTCTGTTCACTTCCAATTCGCATTCTGCAATCCAAACGCATGCATTCACAGGTGTATACATACATACACACATGCATGCGTAGGTACACGGTATGTATGTACTTATGTACACAGACACATACACACGTACATACACATTCGTTCATACACATGCACACATGCCTCATACTTACATGATGGTGGCTGTTCTTACCTCCTTATCCTGACTTGCCTCTCTGCTGCTTTTTCATGCCCGGCAAGAGTCTGAAGTCAGCCGCTGCTCGTTGCCTGCTATGTTGTTGATAATGATGTGCACTACACCCTGCTGAGTGATTAATTTTGTGTTTGTGTTTTAAGCCCCTCCATGAAGCCAACCGAAGCCATGAAAACCCTTCTCTGGTTCCACTACAGTAATACTACTCTATACCTACTGTACAACTTCGGTATCATTGCTGTGCTGCTGTACCAAGCGGTCCTAAAGCCGCACCCTGCTGTTTCGTAGACATGTCCAGGCCGCTACCGAAGAGAATCCTAGAGCCTTGCAGTTCGCTTCCGACCGTTGGCGTCGGGACAAGGTCTGCCCATGCCGATGTTCATGGCGGAGGGCATAGTGCTAAGGATTGATGAAGCCTTTATAGGCCGTAAGTCACAAACTGCCTTAAACCTAGCGGCTGGAATTCCAAGCTCTTGCATCCTGAAGCCCCGAAACCTACCTATTTATACCGTTTGCCACTCCAAAACTCTACGCCCCAAACCTTGTACCAGACTTGTCGTGGGGACTTCGACTAAAGGGCTTTGTTGTTCGAGTTTGCTTTTGTACATGTTGGCGACGGGCCGTGAAGTCTTCGGCCAACATCATTTTCATCAAAGGGTCTTGGGGATTTTGATGCTGTCTTGCAGCCTTCAACGGTTTGGTTTGGGGGCTTGGGTGTGCAAGTTGCTAGCTACAGGCCTCGCATCTATGGCAGTTTCATGCTGCCCTGACTACACATTTAAGGCTCCTTGCAGGCTCCTTAAAAAAGTGCCGTGAGATTTTGGGCATCTAAAAAGAGGGACCCGAGTTTAAGGAACTATCCACATGGCCTTTGTTTGTGTTTTGTGCTATTACGGACTTATGATTATATTGGTATTATTATTGTTGTTATTATTATTGTTATGATTATGATCACTACTATTTCTATTCACTACATGCTGGCCTTTAGCAGCATTGTACTGCCTAGCTGATGCCGACTGCGGATCGCGAGACCTCACCTGGCCTGACCGAGTAGTGAGAGCCTAAAAACAATGAGGTTTTTGAACACAAGAAGTACTAAGAGTGATAATGATACTGATACCTATAAATCCTCAAACCCCTAAACCTTAAATCCTAAACCCTAAACCCTAAATCCGTACAAAAACGACCCGGGAGGAGCTACTGCAGCGCATCCTTGGGATTGACGGCCTTGCGCTGGAGTTTGTGACTGGAGGCCGGCTATTCGCAGTTTTAGGGTTTAGGGTTTAGGTTTAGGGTTTTAGGGTTTAGGGTTTGGGGTTTAGGGTTTAGGTTGCTTTCGTCTTCGGGGCCTCGGCTTTCGGATTTCGGGGCTCAGGATTCACAGGGAAATTTAGGGTTCAGTCGTTTCCGGGTTCTGAGAGGGCTTGAAGGGCTGAAGGTTTGAGGGCGCTAGGATTCACATGCAGGAATGACTCGACGTGGAACAGCACGCCATGGCAGGCCCTTCATGTTGAGTCAGTGTGCTCTGGCACCTGTGATTGTAGGCATCCCCCTGTATCTAACTCGCCAGAATCTGCCGTGCTGGTTTCCTCTGCTCAGGTTTGGCCAATGACTTCGAAGTATGCATGGAGGCAGCTTCTGTGACCTTGTACTGATATCTAGATCTCATTGAATAAGTGGCATCACCATGTGCCACGACTTTGTTCCCAAATTTGTTTTTGACTCAAAGTTCGGCAAGGCTGTCAGCGAGAAAGGCGCAGCGCTGATCCACTGCTCGGCTGCGATGAGTGCCCTGCATGTTGTTCTTACTTGACAGCACATGAGAAGGCTATTCAGCAGAAACGCTTCCGACTACCTACTTAATCGTATACGTCGATTGGATTGATACGGCCACTACCACGACCACGACCACGGCGACCACGATCATGACCACAACGACCACGACCAAGACGATCACGACGACGACCACGACCACTACCGCTGCCCCTACCGCTACATCCGCTATTCTTATGGCTACGGCTAATGCTGTGACCATTGCCGTGCGGGCGAGCACTGCTGCTACTGCTGCCGCCACTACCACCACTACCAGGAATGCTGTAGCAGCAGTGAATTTATTGGTGACAACACCTAGCGAAACAGCTTTGCACGGTAAAGAGTCATGACTGTCTCCACAACTACTTCACACCAATGACCAGAAATATCTGGCATCATTGAATCATGATTTTCATGCTGAACCATCCGGCATCACGAGTTTTATGCTGATACTCATGCAAGCGCGGTTGCAGCATTCCCTTGCTGCCACATGGATGATGAAATCCATCGGCATCACCATTGTCGTCATTAGCAACTTACTTTCCCCGTGCTCCCACCGACGCATCCAGTACCATCGGCTATTTGTCACCGTTTCACCATCTTCTTGCCCTGCATCGTTATTGTCAGTTCGGCAGTGGGCCTACGCGTCAACACCATCATCGCCGTTTGCATCAACACCATCATCAGCGGTTGCCAACAAGCATCATATGTTTGAAATCGCTCCTATGCTTAGAACAGCATTCAGCCTAATCGGGCCTAATCGCTACCATCGTCATGACATGAAGACCTCCTTACAGTTCTGCAGTATAACAGCATCACCATTGACACCACCCCCGTTCATTCATTCGTTCATCCATCCATCCATCCGTTCATTCATTCCTTCGTTCCATGTCATCCCTTTTCATCCGTCTCATCTCATCCCATCCCATCCCATCCATTCAGTCAGTCAGTCAATCAGATGATAGCACCAGTGAATTACATGCAGCAGCGAACACGCAGCCTCAACAATCATGCGGAAGCGGTCGACAAATTGGCAGGACAGGGGTCTTTGTCACATGGGCGTGTTTTGTCATTGACTTTTCCTGGGCATGAAAATTTTCCTGAAATCCCAACGCCTTTTTCAGATCTGCCCCTAGATCTTTCTTTACTTGTTCCGACACTGTACTATATGGCCGAGGAGACAATGAGGACATTGTCCGAACTGCACTGGCCAGCGATGGCATGCAACTTTTGAAGCTCGTTTTGAGATCTGGCGTGTCCTCGGTGTTCCTGAATTCGGGATCTTCAGAATGAGGTTCCTAGTATGCGGTCTACATTAGATGCACTGCGGCGCCTGGCATTTTGCGAGACTCCGGCAGCTGCGGCGCAGGCTCATAAGGCAGAGCTCATACTTTCAGAACAGGGCTGGACGGTTCTTCTGTCACAAAGAACCCATCAGTTTGTTTCGGCCTTCCGTGGAAGTTAGCTATATGGCAATGGGATAGCTTGCTTGCAGTCGTTGTGTTGGGTTCTGATGGTGGTGGGTCTGTTTGGTCACACTGTGGATGCGTTGCGACATCGGCGCTTGTTTCGGGACAGTTCTGGGGGGCTTTTCTTCGACATGACGGGGCAGCAAATGTTTGCACATGGGTGTTCTATATGACCGCTGCAACTCTTTCTTAGCAGTGTGTTTCCGGGTTGCTGTTGCTGCTTCACAGACCGGTTGGGCTTGCCACCCCTACGATCGGATACTGTGGGCCTGCCAAGATTCGGGAGGTTCATCCAATAAGCCTCCCTGTTGCAGATCCTAAAGAGCAGGAGCCTCAATGAAAATGTGCAGGATCCCATATGGTTGGAAACCCCCCTTCGGTGAACAGCTGCAACACCGCACCCATATTCCGAATCATTCTGGCAATTGGCATGGGCCACCAAACGGAAGAAAGTTTGCTCGCGTGCATCGGCAGGGCATCCCAGCCTGCAGGATCCCGCATATATTCTACCGACTGGAAGTTGACAAAGTAACACACTCCAGGCACTTGAATAGTTGGCCCAGGCTTCCCTACTAGCAATGTACATATAGAGTAAGACGCCCCGAGAACGCAAGGTTTAATTATGTAGGGCTCTGTATGAAGTGTCTTCCAAGCCAAACAGGTCGTCAGCACTAAGATTTGAATACAAGTTTCTGATTCCCTTAAGCTTAACCCTTAAACCCTAAGCCCTAAACCCTTGACCCAAAGCCCCAAGGTTTTAACTCCAAGCCCCAAAGCCTACACCCGCTATCCCATAAAGCCCTAAGCCTCAAAGAACCCGAAACCTGAAGCCCTCTGCGGCCCCATGGAGCCCTAAAACATCCTATTATCAACCCTCGACCTCAACCCCCGAAAGCTTTAAACGCCTACTACAGCCCTGTACACTTGAAACCCCCAACCAAAGGCCACAGAAGCGCCAAACAGCCCTAAGGAATGTCTCCAGTCGGCTGCGAGAGGCCCTGACAAGTGGAATGCTTGTTTTGACTCTTCGAGGATGAAGGGTTGCTCTAAGAGCTCTAAAAAGGGTCACTGTGAGGGTTACTCGAGAGTTCTATGATGGTTGCTGTAAGACAAGAGTTCAATCGGGGGTCATTGGTAATTAGAAGGGCGATTATATCAGTTTTGTACGGGGCACTATGAGGAGCCTCTGATGGTGTATATTATGACGGCTTAGAGGCCAAACTAGGACAGGACTTGGAATAGAAGGTATCCGGCTAGGCCCAATACTGCACTAAAGATGTAAGTGTTTGCAGGTCTTAACTGTGCTCGTGTGCCCCTATACATACGTACACACACATACATGTGTATTATGTATATATGTATGCACGATGTTTCTCTTGATTGTGCACGTGTTCTGCATTCAACTTTATTTCTCCCATTGCAATCATGACATATAGACTGTTGTCTAATATTAACATAGAATTGTCCGTTATATATCTATATATACATAGATTTAGCAAGTATTACATGCACATGTAGTTTCATACGCCTAAGCATGCATCTGGCCAGGATCGCGAATTGGTTAAGCTTGCGGTGGGCTCCTTCGATGCAATTATCCCTGTCAGTAGAGGGTGTTTTCAGGTTAAACCCCCTAAATAATCTCCAAGGCAAGCCCTTGATAGAGCGACATCCCGGACAAGTGCGTAGTATGTCCTGGCTGAGCACATGAAAGTCTGCATCCTCACCACAGTAACAGCGAAGCTTGACGGGTAGAAGTTCAGGAGTCTTTGCTAGGCCGGAAATCCGGATTTAAACACGAATGCCCAATGACAGCAGTGGATGTTTCCCAAAGCCACCGAATCCGACGTCCTCGGGCAGGAGGCCTGGATGTTGCTTGGTTCGGTGTCTCCGGAACTTAATTCCTGGGACGCATACGTAAAGTCCTCAGGTCTGCTTCAAGTGGGGCACAGCAACTGGCACGCAATACCTTTTGACTTCCCGCCAAATTCTACATGACTCCTAGGCAGAAAGTCTCCCAGAGGTTGAGGTATGGGGGCGCATCCAGGCCCATGTGGGTTCGAAGATGGTGAGTAAGGCCGAACCCATTGAATCTGAAACGTAGGCCCGCGTTTTGCAATGCTCAGCTCTCAAAATGGGCATGACTCTTGGGAAGTGTTTCGACAAGAACTAGCAGAGCAGTACGATGCAGTATGGAGTTCCCATCCCAGTCTTATGTCTCACGTATGTAGGAGGTGCTGCACCTTTGAGGCCATAAAGCAGCCTCTTAACAGCGGCGCCCTTTCATGGCTGGGCTTCTTGGGAGCTTTGGGCGTTGCGCGGCGCCGCGCTTCGCGAGGGGTTGCGTCACGGCCGCCACAGACAGGATGAGGCTGCATGAGATGGCTGCCATGCTCCACAAGGTTAGGGGGATTAGGGTTGGGGGACTAGGGTATGGGATTGAAACGGGTGTTACTCATCAGAATTAATGTGTAGACTTGATATTAATATTTCATATCCCTTTTGTGATGGTTGAAGTCTGCGAGTCTTCTCGCATGTCGTGGACCATGTCGGTTTTGCTTTTTTGTCTGGACAGCTTTTTGCTGTATTCGAAGCATGTGTTCGTAGCCTGTCCAACTATCCGGCTTACGTCTAAGCCTTTAAAGTTTTTGGACAGTGTAACTTAGACAGGCCGAAGTTTGGGAAACTACAGCATGTACACGCACATATTTTGTGTACTTTACACGACACATACCACTTGGATGGAGAGAGAGAGAGAGAGAGAGAGTTAGACACGGACAGAGAGCTGTCAGATTGGTTGATGATGCTCAGTGCTTTATTTTGCGAACATGTAAGTCAATGTATTGTAAGTATCCAAGCACATCTTGCGTCCACGACTGCGGCTTCTACCTTCAGGCCTGCAATAGCTCTTGAGGAGCAGCTTCCATGGGTCCGGGCAAAGGGTCTAGGCTAGAGTATGGTGGGGGATGGGATAGCAGGGGGTGTTGTTTGTGCTCAATTTTGCTTTAACTTAGAGAAGCAGTGAAGCTCGGGCCACCCCTTAAGTTTCGAAGGGATCTGAACCAGAAGTTTTTCGGGTGGCAGCTGTGTTTTGCTGAGACGAAGTGTCGGTAGAGAACCCTACCAGGTTCATAGGGACTACAAAACACGAGTCCCCAGGTGCCGCCTGGATCCGTGCCCTTCAAGGCTTTATCTGCGGGTTGCGATCACACGTGCGTGGTGAAAGAGGATGGACGCCTAGTGTGTTTTGGTTCCCTTTATTCTGGACAATGTGATGTACCTACAGGCATGGGGCCTGTGGTAACCGTTTCTGCTGGTTGCAATCACTCCAGCGCCGTATGCTCGAATGGGCACTTGACCTGCTTCGGTTCCAACATGGCAGCACAACTGGAGATCCCTGGAAACTTGGGGCCGGTAGTTGCCGTCTCGTCGGGCTGCCTGCATACCTGCGTGGTGAAGCCAAATGGGCAGCTGGTGTGCTTCGGGGATAACAGCGCTGATCAATGCAGTATTCCAGATGGCATAGGCCGGATGATGACAGTCTCAGCTGGCTGCGATCATACGTGTGCGGTGGCAACTAGTGGGCAACTGGTCTGCTTTGGCTCCAACCTTTGTGGCCAATGCAACGCACCGGAGGGCTTGGGACCTGTAAATTGTGTTTCTGCGGGCTGCAAGCACACCTGTGCTTTGCAGGCTGATGGACGGTTAGTGTGTTTTGGATCCAACTTGGATGGTCAACTTGATGTTCCGGAATCCTTGGGTCGAGTGACCGCAGTTTCAGCTGGCTTTGATCACACCTGCGCATTGACTTCTGACGGCCGCTTAGTTTGCTTTGGAGACAACAGCGCAGGCCAGTGCGAGGTACCCACAGGCTTGGGGTTTGTGGTGGCTGTTTCTGCCGGCCGTGCGCACACCTGCGCTCTCACGGCAGATGGGCAGCTGTTATGTTTCGGGGAAAATGACGTGGGACAATGTACTGTCCCAGTCGAAGTAGCACAAAGCGGCTACTCTTCTGCACGCTGCTGAGCTTGGCGTGGCTGCGCCCCAGCACTGCTATTGCTTGTCTTCCCGGGCATGCCATGGGTTCAGCACAAAGCCAAGGGGTGAATAGCATCTGCCTGCATAATTATGCAGTATATATTTATGTATATATTGTGCGTTGCAGGCACATAACCAGCATTGCAGAAGTGTGATGGTAGTCTATTTGGCCCTAATACGTGGCTTTGCACCCACAGGTGACGCTTGCATGAAACCTCTGAGCCTGTCCCACCGATCGTAGAGTCAACAGGAACTTGATCAGCTTAAGGGGCGGCCCCTTGCCTGACGCAGCTGTGGCAGGTCCAAACACGACCGCTGGACTTTTACCTGGCATGTGTACCATTCTGTTCCCACTGCCCGCTGCTTCTTAGTCGCTGACGTTTTAGCCTGAACCCCACTAGCTCTAGCCAACTACGGCTCTGCATCTCAGACTCTGTAGGCCTGCCAAGCTCTTGAAAGCCGAGGTGCCACTTCCTCAAGTCCTCAAGCAAACCTTTGAACAGGGTGAACCGGTTTGGTGAACAAGCGGTCGTAGTTGCTACTGCATGGCCAGCCAGTGAGCCTCCCTTTGACCAGATGAGTGCTGCAGCCGATGTTGAGACCGAAGAGGCAATCACGCTTGTCCTTGTTTAGGATATGTCTGTGCCGGCGGCCCAGGTCGTTGACAGTAGGGCTTTTGGCTTCGGGCACCCAGGGCGAAGCTTTTAATTGGTTGTACTTCATAGGGGATTTTCAGAAACAATGGACACACATGAGAGACACCAAATGCTAGGACCCGTATTGCAAGGACTCCTAAAGTGGGTCCTAAATAAGGCGCCCTCAGTACCTATCCCAACTCCTCGGCCCTGCCAGCCCGAAGACCTTAGACGCCCGGGACCTAAGCCTTCTATTTCCAAACCCATCCAAGCCCTCAGCCTTAGATTCTTGAGGTCCTAGATAACCCTAAAAATCCTCTTGGGGATCTACTCAGCTGATCTTCAGTTCGGGCGAGTTCCCTGCGGTGCGACTTGGTCAGCTGGGCGGGTGGGAAAAATCCCCCGGCAGCAGGTGGAGAGCTGCGTGTCGAGGGTCGTCAGCTCTGAGGATGTGACCTCCTGCAAGGCCAGCGTACATGTCCCCAGCAGTCGAACGTGTACCTAGACAGCTTACAATATCATGCAGTATATTATTAATGATGCTATATTAAACTATTGCAGAATATGTGCTCAGGCCTGGAGTTCCTCCATGTTCCTCTTATGGCCAAAGTGTACCTGTGGTAAAGGAGCAGCCGACTTGTGAAAGTAGGTTAGGGTTGGTGTAGACACCGCAAAAATGCCTGGTTACGCAGCATCGAATCGCACGCTCCTTACCGACTGCTTCCTTCGATCCTCCACTCGAAATCTCTTTGGGTTGAACCAGAGTCATTGGTTTGGGGCCAGGTCGCAGGGTGAAAAGAGCTCTGGGGCACAAACGGTATATAGTCTATTCCTTTACGGGCCGCTTAACAATTTCAGTGATGGCTTACCTTCGAGTACCATCCATTGAAAATTTCCGGGAGCAGCACGTGCCGGCAAATGCACGGTGACTGCCTAAAGAACGCTGCGCACGCGCACACAGTCATGCCATTGGGCACAGCCCTGCAACCCACAGCAAAACCTCAACCCCATAAGCGCTAACCTCAAACCTAAACTAATCCTGAAAACTCAACTCTGTAAACCCTAACCTCAACCCCGAACATTGTCCAAAATCCTGAGCCCGAAAGCCTCTGCAAAGACTTGTGCCGCCTCAAAGTCTGTATGTAAAGTTACTGGGCTGATTTTGATAAGGGCTGGGGGTTGCCTAGTTAAGGCTTTAATGATGCTTAATGTAGAAGCTTGAGTTAGTCTTTAGTACACCAAGACACTCAGACCCCTATATTTAATGGTTTGGTGGCAGCGTCCCGACATTGTGAGAGTGCGAAGCGTCAGCCTTAAACCTTATGCAATCCTATGATGCTGAGGACCCAAGTCCATAAAGCCCACAGATTTCCTATCACACGCTTGCTGCTGCTGCTGCAAGCCCCAAGTACCCGAACACCAAGTCATTGCACCTTTGAGGTCACAGTTCTTGTTTGCGAGAGGCTGGGCGACGAAAAGTTAGCACGGAAAACCTTCCCTCGAAGGCCGGGTCCAGGGGCTTAGCATGCCGGCATTTTGGGGTTGAGGGTTGAGGAATTCGGTGGTTTTGTGGTTTAGACCGTGCGGGTTGTCGCTTTAGGAACATTACAAATTGCAGAAGTCCTTGCTTTGGGAAACCCTCTAAACCCTGTCTTAGGCCTTGCCCCTAAAAACCCCGAATTGCGGGAATGGTGCATGGCCGGCCGGCCAGTCACATCCATCACGCCAGCTACTTAGTGGATGAAGCATGCCGTGATGAAAGGAAACTGTTCCGCCGGGCATCATCAGCCTGCAAGTACTGTTCTCATTGATTTGCAATCAAAACGTTGTCATCAAATTGAATATGTTGACCATATGGCCGTCGTGGTGGTGTTAGATTCTGCTCTGGTGGTGGTTTCTTCTGTTTCTGTTGCTGCTGCTGCTGTTGTTGTTGTTGTCGGTGGTGGTGGTGGTGGTGGTGGTGGTGGTTGGTGGTGGTGGTGGTTGGTGGTGGTGGTGGTTGCGGTTGTGGTCGTGGTGATTGTTGGTGGTTGTGGTTGCGGTTGTGGTTGTGGTTGTTGATGGCTGTAGTTGTGGTTGTGGTTGTGGTTGTGGTGGTTGTTGTTGTTGTTGGTGGTGGTGGTGGTGGTGGAGGTTGTGTTATGTTGCTGTCCTAGTTTGTCACTAAATTAAGCGGTCATTTCCATTGCAGTCTGTCTTGGCTTGATTGTTTGTTGTTGGTGTCGTGTTGTTGTACTTGGTCGGACAATGTTCAGTCAGTCATTCGGCCACTCAGGCAGTCAGAAGGTATTTTGTCAGCTCAGCAGGATTGTTCGTCATGTTGCTGCCATACCTGATATGTCGTCCTTACCATTACTGTTGGTTCTTGCTGTTGCGGTGTTTCCTGTCGGGTTGCATTAGTCATGGTGCCTTGCATTCGCCAGTCGCGTTTCTGGTGTCAGAGTTCCTCCGTTCTACTTCAGAATAACTCTTGTGGAAGGTCTTGAGCCAAGACATCCAGGCGGCCAAGCCCGGTGCTCAGAACGTGAGGCAGGAGCCAACAGGTCGTGTTTACGCATGAACTTTGTGCCCCAAGCTCTGAACTCGACTTGGGCATGCCCGCATGTGTGAAAGAACCTAGTTATCCATGATTTGTTCGGCATGCATGTGTATGACTTATGTGCATGCAATTGGCTGGCGTTGTTTTGCATGATGTTCCTTCTCCGAAGGATGAGAAAGTCAGATTCACAACAAAGTCGATCGATCCATCAGAGTTTAATCAGCATCTAGCCGCCGGGTGCATATATTACCAGGTACTACCTAGTGAAGCCTTGACACCACTGCTCATATCGAGTGCCAAGGAGGAAGACGTTGATTACCAATGTCAGATCAAGTTGCTTGAGCGTGATTTGCCAGATAGGTGGCGGGCAAAGCACGGGACCAGTCTGCTTTGCTGCATTGCTGAGGAGCGTGAAGGATGTCGAGGAGCTCCTGGAAAGCACTGAGAGCTTCCATGCCGACAAGGGGTGCTTCCAAAGTCTGATGTGTTTGTTGTTTATTTTTGTGTGTGGCTTCCGGCTAGGTGATGTCAGAGTATTGTTCTGATGATTTAGTCTGAGGCATATCGGGCTGTAGAGCACCGTCTCAGGTTCTCCCGAAATAGAGGGCCTGGACGGCTCTGTAGGATTGCCTTACATACATGCATGCTTGTGGAACCACCGAAACCTCACAGGCCGCGGTAGAGTTCATGGCGAGCTGGCCAAGCCAGAGGAGATCTTGAAGCGATGCCTAGGTGTATGAATTTACGTAGCAATGCCTTGCCGACACTTGCGCAGGATTGCGGGCTCTTGCTTGGTGGCCCTAGACCCTCAACCCAAAAGGCGACGGGGTGGGGGCGGCGTTTGGTTCTTGCGTCTCCAATCGATAGATTTGTTACTTGGTGTTTTCGCTGTTATACAAAACATGTTGTTGCCGGCATGTTATATTTCAGAATCCTCTCTTCAACTATCTATATATATATATACATACATATATATGCTACCCCCCCCTCTAAGACCCCACGTTCAGCAGAAACACAGCATCATACATGGCAGCGATTGCAAATGCACAATCTTGAAACTCAATATTTCTTCTTCGCCACAACAGATACCTGATCGTGTCTTCCTCTTAGAGGACTGAATATGCTGCGTACCCAAAGATCAAGGCAGCAA